CCAAAGTCTCCGTCGCAGATCCATACAGCCAGCGACCTGCTAAAAATGCTGGCAGACCGAACACTTCCCTCCTCAGCCAGGCTACGAGAACGTCAGCTCGTGGCGCGCTCGGTTGGCGGTCAGTTTGGGGGGACTTCCGGCGTCCAGCGAGGGTCGATGGACGAGGGCTTACAGGGTTCCAGATGCACGGGTTTGGGTCCTGAAGGATGTAGTTTTGAGAGGGAGTTCAAGTCCACAAAGGATTTTGTAGAGTTTACGGGGTTTCGAGGTCTATGGGTTTAAGAGTATATACAGGGCAGCCGCATTTCCGTGGTTCTCCTTCTGTGGTGAAGTGTTTCCGACGCAGGCTGGCCAGAGTAGGATTGTTAAAGGCTTTGCCGCTTAGGGGTTCAGGGCTGCCAGGACTTTCTCAAGTCCCCTGAATTTCCGGATCGTTTTCGACGCGTCGAGTCGTGGTCTTGCATTTGCGTTGTTCTTGGCTCAGGCTTCGGACTTGCTGCTCCGATCGAACATGATATTTCCTTAGCGCATGTCGACTCTGCAACCAGCTTTGGCCACCATTGAAGATGTTTGCCATCAAGTTCAACTTTTAGATTGTGACGCGCACGTATGAACCATTTCATTCGTGGGGTGGTGACCGTGCTGATCATGAGAATTGCCAGAAGTTGGCCATTGCCACCTTCCCAATTGGTTGAAATTGGTTGACACGTATACTACGCACGTATAGGCATCTCTGTCATTGCTTAAGACAACTGACGGTCAAGTAAGTGGCAACACGGGGGAGGCTCGAATGTGCCAGCTGCGACGCTCAGAACTTCGTTGTTGTTCCCATCACTTCAGGAATCTTGTTCACGGACAGCTCCCTTCTGAGGCATAGCGGAAGATATAATCCTTTCGATCCCACCTTATGACAAATTATAGTTAACGAAGCAAGCTTCACCAAGCTTCTAGTAACACCACCTTCTACAACCCCGCACATACACACCAAGAAGCAGAGAAACGGCGCCATATAGCCTGTTTTGGTTTGAAGCTCTGGCAGCTATGGGCCCGTAGTTCCAAGATATTACTTGTATGGTCTGGGAAACTGGCAACACAGTCGTTTTGAGCCACAGGTTATTGCAAGGTTTGGGGTGATTCTAGTCTTCAAGCAAGCAATCCGGGAAGCTCGTAACGTTGGCGCCCCATTGACGGCACTTGTGACACCTTCAAGCTCACACTCAGGGCCCAGCGACAACATTCGATGCGAAAGGTCGCGGGTACAAGAGCAGGGTATTTGGACCGAAGGGCTCGGGATGGAGTAAGTATAACAACCGCAGATGCCGCGATGTTGGTAATTTACATCGAGTGTTGGAGGCGGTTCCTGCCTATGTAGCTCCAAGTGATCTCTGCATACTGGTAGGTGGGATGTTTAGTTTAGATTCTCAGATGCGCCCTATCATCTGTTGGGACCTCACACCATTGGCCGCGCACACCTACCATGTGACCAAGCGCTGCACGAATAATCACAGCAACATGCACATGAGTATGCCCTCGATTTGCCGCTGTAGGGTCTCACGATATCTTACTCCAGAAGTACATGTTCTGACGGAGACATCCTCTTGTGGTGATAGATGTTGTCCACAGCTCCGCCTCGATGCCCGTCGTGCGGTGCAGGCTGTGGAAGAGGCAGGTCTGCGTCACAAGGCCGCAGAGGCCTGCACGGCCGTCTATGTTCTTACCGCCATGCTCGGTAGGCAGATTTTTCCAGCTGCAAGATCTTTTTACGCATGCTCGCGCACATAAACACAAACTATAAGCACACTCAACAACACAACAAGAACACAACGGCACCCACTCACCCACCCGCCCACCCCACCCACCCTCCCACCCTCCCACCCACAGACCCTGGGGCAGGAAGTCGACCCGAAGAGGAAACAAAGCCTCTGAATGTGAAGAGTTTTTCACCACGCAGACAAAGCTGCAGGATCAATCCCAAACCAAAACGGATACTTCCCTCGGATGCATGGTTCCGATTCCTAATTGTACGATTCCTTCAAGGTCAACCGGACAAATGACCAGGACATCGTAAGCCTTTAGTTCCTGAACCCCTAGAGCTGCATCTTTCCATCTTGCTGCTGGTGAGAGCCTTGTGAGACCCAGCAGTGCAGGCTTGTCCTAGCTAGGTGGAGGACCATGCACCCTTAAGCCTTAAGCCCCTGAACCCTTAGCCTGAACTCGCCGGATACCCAAAACATCCCAAAACAGTAAAGTCTAAACCGCGGAAGAAGAGGCAGTCGAGATGCAACTTTCAGCCGCCGGAGACCTGTCATTGGGATTTCCGGGTTGCCCAATCTAGCTACCAAGTTGAGGAAGGTTTGGGGACTACAGGGGTTTACTGTCGAAGCTATCGGTTTTTTCTACTGTGGAAGCAAGGTTGCGGCTTTGGACTTAAAGAGCTCTCCCCTGGGTCCGGGAATAGGGTTGGGCAGAAGGCTCGCCTAACCAACTAACCAACCCTAAACCCTTCATCTCAATCAGACCTCGAACCACACGCTTCGCCTTGAGTGTCTGAATGTGCGCGCCGAAACCCTTAGGTCGACTCGGCATGACCTTACGCAAGCGAATGAGAATTGATTTGGTCGTAGATTTTGGTTCAGGCTCCGGCTTGGACCATGCTGCAGCTCATTATTGTCAGGATTCTGCCTTTTCTGTTGATGAGGGTGCTTACATGTATATTTACGTTACGTAGTGCCAGCATCGGTGGCTCGGTGGGGTTCTTGCCGCGGCTGTCTTCATGGGACCCATGTGTTGTTGAACAAAAGCCGAACCCTAATCACACAGTTTGAAAGCATCTGTTACTGACTACTACTACTACTACTACTACTACTACTAAAACTACTACTACTACTACTACTACTACTACTACTACTAAAACTACTACTACTACTACTACTACTACTACTACTACTACTACAGCTGCTGCTGCTGCTGC